ATCCCCATCCCCATCCCCATCCCCACCCCATTCACACCCACCTGCCTCCTCCCTCTCGTTCACTTCGAAGCAGCTCCAGTAATCCTTCTCCTTCATCACGATCTTCCTCCGCTCCAGGATCTCAAAGGTGAGCTCCTCGGCTGTCATCGTGGCCGGGATCTGGGAGGGACGGACAGGTCTCCATCAGCCAGTGCCACCACACAGGTTTGGTCCCTGTCCCCTCCGTGCCCTCCGCTCACCTTGACATGCTGCTCCGCCTCCGGTTTCTTCTCCTCCAGGTAGACGGTGCAGATGAAGTCCCCAGCTTGCTGGAGGGGAAAGGATTTCAACCTGCAGCTCCCCCCTAACGTGGACACCCCCAGGAGATGCTGGAGCAGGCGCAAAGAAGGTCCCCCAGGAAGGTCCCCATGTCCAGGACCCACCTGCGTCCCACTGGACGCTGCCTCCCGCATCTTCATGATGGCCGTGATCTCGTCCTGCTGCTTCTTCATCTCTTGGTCGTTGACCTGGTGAGGAAGAGGAGCCCATGGAGCCATCAGGGCTGACCAGGCCACCCTTAACTTCCCTTGAAGCAGACGTGTGTCCCCAGGGAGAGGGGTCTCCAAGGTTTGCAGGGACATGGATCCCCTCTCCCTTCATCGCCAAAGCAAGGAGATGGCTGCAGACAGAGCAGATCCAGCTTACTCCTCCTCATCCCCTGGGAAGGTCCACATACAGACCCGATTCAGCATCAGGGGGTTCAACCTACGTTAAAGATCTTCACGTAGTGGCTGATGAGGTCTTCCACCACGCGCCCTGCCTTGTAGTCCTTCCCGTCTGTCTGGAACAGCGTGGGCCCGAAGACGATGGCCAGGTTGTGGGTGTTCATCTGGTTCTCCCCAGAAAAGCGCTGGACCCTGAGGAGAAACTCCATGAAGATCCCTGCCCACAGACCCCCCCAGGGCCCCAAAGCCCCCCCAGGATCCCATAGTCCCCCCAGGGCCCCCCAGCCCGCCCAGCGATGACCCATGGGGCTCCACCATGTCCTGGACCCACTGCCCGTACCGAAAGAGATGGTTGATGAGCGCCTTCAGCGTGGCCCGGTTCACGGTGGGGAGGTTGCTCAGGAGCCGCCGGTACTCGCTGATCTTCTCCTCCTCATCCTCCAGCGCTGCCGGAGGAAGAGGATGAGCATGGAGGGGTGTGAAGGTGATGCTGTGACTCACAGTCCCGCCATCGCCCCTCCAGAGCCCACCTCGGATCGTCCTGGCCCACCATGGGGATGGAGCATCCCAGGGCTGGAACATCCCAGCTCCATGAGACTGGAGCATCCCAATTCCATTGGGCCATGTATGGCATCCCAGCTCCATGGGCCCAGAGCATCCCAGCCCTGGAGTATCCCAATTCCATGGGGTTGGAGCATCCCAGGGCTGAAGCATCCCAATTCCAGGGGACCAGGGCATCCCAGCTCCACAGGGCCAGAGTATCTCAGGGCTGAAGCACCTCAACTCCATGGGGTCAGAGCACTCCAGCTCCATGGGGATGGAGCATCCCAGGGCTGGAGCTTCCCAACTCCATGGGGTCAGAGCACCCCAGCTCCACAAGACTGGAGCATCTCAGGGCTGAAGCATCCCAGTTCCACTGGGTCAGAGCATCCCAGCCCTGGACTGTCCCAGCTCCACAGGACCACAGCATCCCAGCTCCACAAGACTGGAGCATCCCAGTTCCATGGGGATGGAGCATCCCAGGTCCAACGGGTCAGATCATCCCAGCCCTGGACTGTCCCAGCTCCATGGGATCACAGCATCCCAGCACTGGAGCATCCCAGTTCCACAGGACCAGAGCATCCCAGCTTCACAAGACTGGAGCATCCCAATTCCATGGGGTTGGAGCATCCCAGGACTGGAGCATCCCAGCACTGCAGCATCCCAGTTCCACTGGGCCAGAGCATCCCAGGGCTGGAGCTTCCCAACTCCATGGGGTTGGAGCAGCCCAGGGCTGGAGCATCCCAGCTCCAGGGGAATGGAGCATCCCAGGTCCATGGGGCCAGATGATCCCAGTCCTGGACTGTCCCAGCTCCATGGGATCACAGCATCCCAGCACTGGAGCATCCCAGTTCCACAGGACCAGAGCATCCCAGCTCCACGAGACTGGAGCATCCCAATTCCATGGGATTGGAGCACTCCAGCTCCATGGGGCTGGAGCATCCCAGGGCTGGAGCACCCCAGCTCCATGGGGCTGGAGCATCCCAACTCCATGGGGTTGGAGCATCCCAGGGCTGGAGCTTCCCAACTCCATGGGGCTGGAGCATCCCG